CCCTCTTAGCAGTGCTGCAACGTGTTTAACAAATGTAAACAGAGTTGTTTCGGGTAGTAAGATCTGAAGTAACTGGCGCGGTGTGCTCACATCCGCACGTTGCGTTCAATGTTGTCACGTAAATTAGCAGGTCAATCCAGGTCTGGTGTTTCCACAGCATGCCAATCAGAGCTGAGGTGATTTTAAAGTGAGTCATTTGCACCGGGTAGGCGGGCATCAGTGAGCTGTTCCCACTGCCACTAAAAGCAGATTGTTCCCGGGTGTAAACAGGTTTTTCTGCCAGTGGGAAAGTGGTATTAGATTGCGTCGCTTTTCCTTCTGAACTGGAAAGTTAGCTTAAATGGGCTTGGCAAACTTTACACCTGACAGTCTGACAGAGATTGGGCAAGCATTAGTGCAAAACCTAGTGGCAAGAAAAAGTTAAGCTTGAAGCTATTGCCTTTTTGTTTAGCTCTGCAAAATTTTTCTTAAAACTTCCATTACTGCCCTCTTTGGGTCGAACAGTGGCTATTGCAGTTGAATCTTCAAACAGTTAATGCTTGAACGCGCCTAAGTTAAAGACAAATACTTTCATCATCAAAGGCCCTCATATTGGTATAAATAAATCTCAGAGGCATTGCTTTATAGTGAGTTATCCTGTCTTCCACTGCCTGGACACTAGCGGCTCGAACCGTTGAGGATCTGACCCACCGGGCTTTCCAAATGTTTCATCAACCTCTAGTGTTCATGAGGTGAAAAAGAGTTATTCTTAAAAGATCTAAACTACCAGCATCCCTCTGGTCTCTTTCTGTGCTTCATTTGTCTAAGCTAGGCTAAACTAGTTGCCTCTTTCTCTTGTCCAGACAACACCTCTGCTCATATGTATTCCTGCCCCTCAGGGTCTGAATGTGTCTCTGTGTGGAGTTATGCTTTCACATTGGAGTGGGTTAAACTTGAAAGACTTTAAGGTGCCAAGATTAGAGGAAGAAAGACCCAAAGTAGAAGAAAGGTGGAACATACCTGCACCGATGGTACAGTTCTGAGTTGTTGAAGGGCTTATCGACACCTTGTTGACTCCTTTGGGTTGCTGAGAGGTGACTGGTGTTGATGTGGACCTTGGTTCTATCTGCTCAGGTTTTGGAGTTGATGTGAAACAAAGATTGATCAAATCCAGGAGATTTTGATTTCTATTCTCTGCTGGAGATTCACAGGTGATCGTCGGGCCCACTGTAGAGGAAGACGACAAAAGCCATCCCGGTATTTAGGTTAGATTGTTAGTAGCAACTAGTGCTGGTCGCTGTGTGTCTGCTAAGAAATCTTTTTACCGATCGTGACATTGGCTTCTTTCATCTTTCTAACGGTGTTCAGCAGAGGACAGGAGCAGTTCCAGGGGTTTCCTTCTAGGTGCAGTACCTAACAAGAACAGCCAAAACAAAGCTGGTCAATGTAAAAGGCTCCTTGTCAGGAATCCAGTTTGTGTGGTCTGTTTTTGTGTTTCCTTTCCTCCTCCACCAGGTGGTGCCCCGTCCTCATTGGATCTCCCTGCACACCTGCAGCTCATTTCCTCATTACCTGTGGAGGATTCTTAAGCTGCTGACTGCCACTACCTCGATGCCAGAGTTTGCCAATACAGGGTACTCTAGCAATGCTTAGTTTAGCAGAGTCTAACCTGAGTTTTTGTTTGCCGGTTTTGGTTTCTCTAGTCAAACTGAGTTTTTGTCAACCTGAATCTTAAATTTGTTTTTGTCTTTGCCTCTCGGCAGGAAGTCATCCTGCAAACTGGATTTGTTCGGTCCTTCTCTCTCTGGAAGGTTCTACTGAGCTTCTAACTGAGCTGGGGTTCCAAACAAGAAGTTTGGATCCACTCTCCCCAAGTGGTCGTTTGAGTAACCCAGTCCGCCCATCACCAAACAAGACAATCACTGGCACAATCCTCACAGTCTGGATTCTATAAAGGACAACTTTTCCTGGAGAAGTGACTCTGCAACCTTTTCCTCCTATGCAAAACCAAACATTCATATTTCCCACTGAGCCTGAACTAACTGCAGGGTCTTTCCCTCACCTTCCAGTTCCGGATGAGCAGTGTTCACAGCAACACTGGACTCTTTTCATTCTACTCTGAGCAGCACTGGATTTCATCAAATTATTCCTAAAATAAACCTGTTTAAACTTTTCCTTGGTCTCTGTTTGGTCTTCTGCATCTTGGGGTCAGACCTTTAATATAATCATGACACTCCTCTTACCAAATACACTGTCTGTTACCT